TCTGCCTCAAGCCTCTCTTCTCCCGACACTTTGTCTGGAAGCCTCGATGCTAGCCGACTTTCTTGGTGGGACTTGCAGGTGACCCCATGCTGTCCGTGCCCTATGCTGCCTCTTCCAACAACAAGGCCCAATGCTGGATGAGGGGCTCAGACGGGCCAGCTTCATCGCCAGCTTCATTCGCTTCCACGGCAGTTCCCTCCTCTTCCTCAGTCGCCAAGCTCTGGTTCAGACTCAGTTCCGAAGTCAAAGCATCTCCCAAAGCAAATGCAACGCATGGGAGCTCCCTGAGCTCCCTGTGCTCGTGAGCTCCTCTTGGGCCCGGCCTGCGTGTCCTGCGTGTCCTCTATGGCCTGCGCCGCCTCCTCTTGAGAGCCGCGGCTTTGCCCGCGGCTTTCCTCCAAACCTGAAGGGTCCTCAGGCTCGGTTCGCCAGGGAAGGGGGACAGCTTCTACTTGCAAGTGAAAGGCGACGTTACGAAATACTACACTACGGCCATCTACGTCCTCGTCCTCATCGGGCAAAAGCGGCCGAGACGGCCTCAGCATCATTGGGGTCTTGAACAAGGTGCCGCAGTGTCGTTGACTACATGAAGCCTGAATACAGGTTATATCCATGCCGCCTACAAAAGAAAGGCTGGAGAGGGGGTTCTGGAGTGCTTTTGGGACTGACGAAGTTCCGCAAGCATGCAGCTTTGCGGCGTTGGTACACATCCGACATTCGACCCTGGCGGTGCTCTATCTGATTCAGAGCAGCCGCGCTCTACGCATCCGGCCAGACGCGTTCCTCTTTTCTGAGGAGAGGATCCATACATTCCTGTTGGGGGGGGGAAGTCCTCAAGCCCAAACCGCAACCCTAAAACCATCCTCAACCCCAAACCTCAAAACCAAGCCCTAGACCTGTAAGCTTAACAAAAGACCAGAGAGCCAAGCAAGCCCAAAACCCCTGGCTCAATGCATGACCTTACTTGCTTGCTGTTGGCCGTTCTCGAAGAGTCTTTTTGTTTTCCTCCTGCGGGCATTGAAGACGAACGCTCAAGGCGTGGACGTCGCTTCTGCGAGCTCAGGCTTGCTTGTGCTTTGGCTCATGGGCTAAGGATTGCCACGATTGTTCGGTAATTGTTCCTCAACGCAACGTTCTGCAGACGGATGACCCTCTGCAGCATTGTGAACGAATACAGGCCCAAGGCGTTATGGCTGAAGACGTCACTGCTGAAGACTGCTGAAGATGTTATGGCTCAAGACGTCGTCAGCTTGGTTGTGGTGGCTGTTGATATGCTCGTTCTGATTCTTCGCTATTGCTGCGAGCGCTGTATTTGTTGTCTTGGTCACTGAAGACCAAAGGTCTTTGCCAATGCAGGCCTTTGTTAGCCGTCTCCAGCAAGCATGCGAAGAACAAGCGAAAACGCTGCACATCCGATGACGAACACGATATCCTTGACAGTTCTTATTCTTGACCACGGCGGCAAGGGAGCCGGGTTTCTGGTTCACGGCCCGATCGGTTCGAGATCATCGGCCAGTAACTTGATTTCACGAGTTGGCACGATTTTGGCCCTTAGCCTGGGCGCTCTTAGATGTCCTTCCCCTCAATTTAGAAAGACTAGTTAACTGATAAGGCCCATTTCCATAGTCGACAGAGTCGGCATCACATTCCGCTGCCAGCATTGAAGCAGTTGTGCTAACCAAAAGCAGCAGCTCCCTTCCAAAGAAACCCGTTGCCACCGAATCATCTGCCAGCGTGGACGCCGCTGAGCAGTAGCAAACTGAAAGAACCCTAAAGCCTAAACCCTAATCCCAAAACCCTAAACCCTAAACCATAAACCCTAAACCCTAAACCCATGTTTGCATCTCAGACATCGGCTGGCGGATTGGACTGAGAGGCTGCCAGGAGGGCACCTTCCTGTCAACATGTCGAAGAGAACTGGAAGATGTTTCTGAATGACATGTACTACTGAAAATAACAATAATGATCTTCACAATCGAAATCATAATAACAAGAGTCCAAAAAATTGCCGTGTCGGAGAGACCTGCCTGCCCACCTTCGGGGCCATCTGGGCCATGAAGCTGTGAACAGCACCCTGCAGTCACACAAGGCTCGAGACAACTCTTGAACAAAAAGCCAAAGAGTTGGCCCAACTTGATACTCAAGATGGTCCGGAAAAAATCGAAACAAACCTCTGCAACTTTTCCTGAGGCCAAGGCGTCGACCTTCGCATCCCCACCGACATAGCTTCCCAGGCGATTAAGCTCTTGCCTTTCACCCATGAGCTCGCGCGAGACCCCGCAACACATTGCTAGTCTTTCAGTATCCGACTACCAAGCCTACATCAAAAGCAGCAAGTAGAGGCCACTATGCAAGAAAAACGGGAAGGGCACCTTGTTCAGCAACAAGCAGCGAAACAGGAACAGGCACTCGATGCAGAACGTTGGCTTTTTTTGTACGTGCCAGTAGCTGTCTTAGTGCTCCTACCCTGTACCAGTAGCCAACTTTCCAGTTCTTGTGTTCCTACCTGAACTGAAGGCAAGTCTGGAACCTCATTATTTGTCAAACTCTTGCCAAACTCTAAAGCTCTTGCCAAGCCCCTGGCAGGACTTCCAGCTGGTGCCTTTGGAGTCGACGTTGATGCTGGTACAAGAAGTGAACTTTGATGAGCTGGTGTGTGGAGGGACAGAGGGGGAATGAATGTGCTAACCCGCTAAGCTCTGTACTTCATCTGCTTCATTTCCTGGTGCTGCTTTGCCTGAGTCTTGATTGCGTCACACTTAGCGGTTCATGTTGAGAAGGGCTTCAAGCAACATCACCAGACTTCTTACCAGTAGAAGTGTGCGCTTGGGCTGAGCCTGCCACTAGCACACCTGCCAGCCTTTCAAGAACTACTTGCGTTTCCAAGGTAGGTAAAGATGAAACTGCTGGTGAAAGACAGGTCTTCCCTTGACTCTCAACCGTGTTCATGCCGTCATAAGCCGTTGCATTGGCCCGCCTCTGGTGTTGAGCTTGGAGGATGCCACCCCAAGCACCACCTGCTGCAGCACCAATGTGCCATGCTCTACAAGTCCAATCTATTTCCCTGACTTTCTGCGAGAGTAAGCCTCCCCGTACTTTGGGAGGGGTCCATTTCTTGGCTTCCTCTAGGGTGTCGAGTCGCCTTCCGCGCAGCCCCACAGGAATCACACCACAAGAATGGACACAGGACCATGTTGCAACATCTGGGAACCTTAGGAACCTTGCTGACGCCCGCACCTGGGCTGGCTCAGCGCCCTGAGGCGCCCTCCTTGTGCAGGCTTTCGACGGACCGGCTTCCAGCTGGCCATTTGCCTCCGCAGATCTCAGAAAGACCTTTCGACTGTAAGGGACTCGGGGGAAACTCCAGAGAAGCCGTGGCTGCAGCTTAGGCCTCTGTGGGGCTGGCCGGTCAAGGATTGGCGGCAGCAAGCACTCCTCTCCTTTGCAGTGTGCTTAGGCATCTTCAATCTTAGTCTTCTGCTCTTTACATGAGCACGCATGACATCCGGTTTAACCAGAGGCTTGCGGGGCTACTTTCGAACTTCGATCAGCATAGCATTGCTTGTGCCACATCTTCCAATCCTCGTCTGGAGCCGCCAACCGATGGCAGGGCTGGTGTGCTGGAGCTGCCCTTCAGCCTGCTGCGGAGTTTTCATGTTCAGGTATCCCAGGGGTTCAGGGATCTATCAGACAGCTTCTTGTTCAGAGGCAGCGGCTATCCGGGCAGGGACGCGTTGATGCGAAAGATCCGATTGGGCAGGCTTCTGCCGCGGCGATGGTCGAGGCAGGTGACCACAAAATACCCTGCAGAGTGAAGTGTGTGGGAGCCCAACACCTGTGAGGGAAAACACTTGATGGGAACAGGTCTTTCGCGACCTGCTAAATCGCGCAGAAGCGTGCTGCTCAACATCCGCTACACTGCGCACAAGCGGACAGCCACGGTAGGCGTCGCGTCGAAAGAAAAGCCCGCAAGGGGTCCACGCTGCTGGCGGACGCTTGTTGGCTGCCCACGTGGCAGATGCCTCGTCCGCGCTGGCCGAGTTAATGACCGCGGCAAACTGCAAAAGATCCGCAAGCAACAAAATGTAGCTTGCTTCTTGGCCGTCAGCGGTCAGGACGACAAAAGGAACCGCCTGGGGTCCCGGATGGGCTGTGGGAGGGGTGGCCCCGAGGAAGTGGCCGTAGCCGAGGATGCCATGCTGGTGAGGCGCGCCATGATACCCCATGCCCACAACACCCATGGCAGAAGAAGGCCTCCTTGTGGGTGAGGAAGCCAAGGCCCGCAACAAGCAAGGAGGCCAGAAGGGACGGGGAGAGAGAGAGGGGAGGACTGGGAGAGTCCAAAACCTGCGCGCGAAGGCTCCCGAGAGTGCAGACATTCCGCTACATGTTAGATCGCACACAAACAACATGCATGAGCCTGGTGGACTGCCGACCCTGAAGCAGTTGTCTGTGCCTGCGTATCTTGAAGTTTTCCCCAAAGGTATGTATAGTTCTGAGGAGTCGTGAAGGTCGGATCATGTCAGATGCCCCCCTCCTGTGTGCGCGAAGGAGCCCATTCCCGACACTCTATGCGGCTATGCCTGGAGGAACTTTGGGCAGCTCCTGCGCTCCAAACTGGGTACCTCCCACAGCATGTTGCAGTCAGCTGCTGCATACCGTGGGTAGCTTTGTTTAATATTCTAAAGCAGACACAAGCATTCTACTGATTTCTCAAGGGAACGTACTATGTTCACAAGAAGCAAAGAGCACAGCGCTTCTGAGAGAGCATGTTGATTGGTGAAGGCACTGAACTCCATGGCGTGCCTGTGAGGGAGCTGAAGCTCGGCAGGACTTGAGAAGTCTGGCTCTGGCTCCTTGGTCATCAGAGAGATTTGGAGGGAGTTGTTACCTGCTTAACTGGACTCATGTCGAAGAAAGTACTCTTGGGCTCTGACTCTCCTCCGTGCCGGTGGAGCCTGAGGAGCCTGAGGCGCCTTTCACAGCATCACTGACACCGTTCAGAGCTGGAACTCAGAGACGCCAGCCTGAGTTGGGCTTCTTTCTGGTGCTCTCGGGTCCTCCCAGTCTCCTGGGTGTGCCTCAGGGAGCAAGAAAGGATACAGGAAAAAGGAGCCATCAACACGTCACGCTGTGGGAGCGCTCGCTCTCATTGGCTCTCCATGCACCTCCTCCTCCCCTTCTTCCTCATCGTCCACAGCACCCTCATAGACCTGCACGCAAGGATCCTCCACAATTTTCCCGGAGGTTTTTGCCGGTGCTTTTCTGGGGTCCGATGGGCGCAATTCCGAACACGCTGCCTGGGTGAGGAGGCCATCAAAGCTCAGCATGGCGCTGCAGGCTGAGAACTGTAACTGTAAGCACTGGGAACTAGAATAACTCGCAGCATGGCTTCAGGTTAGGGTTCAGCATTGACTCAGGCGTCACTCAAAGTTGCGAACCCTGTCTGAACTTGTACTTGCTTGATTGACAGCTGAGCTGCAGGATTGAGTCTTGATGCATGCCCTGTCCGAGCCGAGAACGTGACAGCTCAAGACCACACCATGTGAAAGAGTTCTCGTGGCTCATGCTGAGCTCTTGGTGCACGGATATCCTGGCAGCCTGCTGGTAGTTGTTGGTCAGCGCCACCGAGAAGAACTCACCCACGGAGTCATCTCCCTACAGAAAAAGCCATGCTGACAAGACATGCCTCCCAGAGAGGTGTAAAAAACCCAGAAGAAGGCCCGGCCAACCTTGAGCACGCAGGAGGGGTACTTCCAGGTAACAGCTGAGCCAGTCTCTACCTGAATGCACGAAGCTAATTTCGTCGAATTCTACCCGCACTTCTTCGGGCGCGACAATTCTGCGCCGCCTGCGTCCAGGAAATCTTGGACTTCTTGCCCTCGCACATGCCTCGCTTTGTGACCTCGGGTGTCGCGCTCGTGCCTGCCGTACCTATTCATGGTTGCATTGCAGCTGCACCGTTGCGAGTTCACGAAGAATCAAGCTCGAAAGGGCAGCTGTGACTGCATTGGTCTAAGGGTCTTGTTCCAAAACAATGGTGCCAACGAAATTCCGTGTCTGCAGCTGCGGCTGTTTCCTGGCAACTGCCAACATGGTAAGTGCCGGACTAGGTTCAGAATGCCGCCCTTGCCATTCTTGTCGCCCGCATACCTCATCAGCGGTGTGTCCACAACCGACAGCTTCTGGAGCAGGCAAGGCTGTGCAAAACATGCGAAGTTAAGTCCCGACACCAGTTCTGCACGGTCGAGTACCTCAGAGCCAGCAGACTACCTTCTGATTATACTTCCTGACTGATGCCCAAGTCAACCGCGAGATAGCAATCATGAACCAGCGCCAGACCGAAAGCAATGGCAGCGAGATGCACACGTACTGCGTTTACTGAGTTCAGAACTTGATCTCCGCGGACTCAGCAGCATGCAACTCTACCACAGCCGCCTTGATTCCAACAAAGGCACCACAGACGGATGTGCAGATCCCGCTGCAGAAGCAGCAGCCGCGTGGAATCAATGAGATCATGCGGGAATCATGTGGAATCATATGGAGCTATGGTTTGTTTCCGAGATCACTGCATGGAGCTGCTTCGAATCGAACATAGGGGCCTTTGCCAGGCACGCATACCGCGCGCGATTGGACCATTGATTGAAGGCTGAAGGGATCTGACTGAGCCTAGCGCAGTGCATCCCTCCAAATATGAGACGTAGCTGCTCTCGTCTGCGATGAGCAGTGTGCGCTCAAACTGTCCAGACTCCTTTGCCGGGGGAGAAGAGCAAAAAACACTGCCTCCTTAGCACCCCTGGGATTCGTGGCCGCAAACCCATGTATTGCCATATGCTCAAAAAACTTTAAGATACAGAAAGAGAGCTGCTCTTGGAGCAGAAGCAGCAGAGCGCTTCCAACTTTGGGGCAAATCCCGTCCTTGTTGTTGATGCGGAAATACGTCGAGATCTCCATCGGGCAAGTGGTGCCCTTGGGGATGTAGCAGAAGGAGCCATCGCTGAAGACGGCACTGCAGCAGGCTGCAATCTGTGTCTAGGAGTCTATGCCAGACAGCTACAAGGACCCACCATCCCACATGAGGTCTACTCGGCCTGTTCAGAGCAGCAAAGTAATTGTCAGCCACCGGGACAACGGAGCCCAAGTACTTCTTGACAAGCTCGGGGTGCTCCTGAAACCCGGATAACCTGCCGCATCACCTGACCCTGACAACCGACACCCGGGGGGGAGGTCCAGAGGGGAGGTTAGGGGCCCTGTTGAGAGCTGCCTTGATGGCCTCATTGATGGAGCAGAAGATCACGCCTGCCTGCCGAGTCAAACCATGGTACCGTAGCCCTTACAGCACATGCACGAGGCGTCGCTTCGTGTCGAATGCGCGTCACTTGTATTATAGTAATAACCATAATCATAAAAATAATAATACTAATAATAATGACAATAGTAAGAAGAATAACCATCATAACAGCAACAATCATATGCCTCTTCCAGCTCCTTCTGGAAGGTGGTGCCGATGCTCTCGCTGTCAAAGACGGCGTCCACCGCGACGTTTGTCAGGCGCTGCAACATCAGCAGCTTGCGTTCAGGAAACACGTGCTGTGAATGGTGAGAGTTCGGTGTCTTCGCAAGATTCTGACAAAAGCAGGCAGCTGTACACTACGGCGTGCAAAAACAACTTTTGCTGGCAGAATATGAACGCTGCTTGCCGGGACGAAGCTCTGTGCTTCCCGTTGAGTCTTTTGCATCTTTGGGCTTCAATTTGGCGCATGACATGCCATCTGTACGGCCCTCAGTGGCCCAGTCAGCAATTAGATTCGTGCCTTCTGCTCTGTCAGAGGGATGCCTAGCTTCTCGAACGTGTCGAGCAACTCAGGATCAACCTGCGATAATGTGGGCACTTTCAACTGAGGATTTCAGCACTTTTAAGCGCTGACTGAAGGATTCCCCAAGGAAGATGCCTCGTCAAGGCTCTGTTTCTTTTTCCTCGACTTTGGTCTGGAGTAGTACACGATGTCCTCGTAGACATGCGAGTTTCAATTGAAAATGATAGGCCTACTTCTCGGCTGCCACATTGCGTAGGGACTGGTCCTGAAAGTCGATTTCCTCCATCTGCAGATGTGCCCATTCTGGCATCTCCATCTTCTGCCACTTCCTGTGAAAGGAAGCGCCATACCGGGCCCAACACTAGGCTTTGTGTTTAAAGCGGCGGCTGCCAGCAGAAGCATGCGTCCTGAATGCATTCAACCGAAACTCGAGCATCCACTCGGGCTCTTCTTTGATTTCCCAGATCTTTCGAACGATGTCCTGCGCACAGCTGCAGCAAGGAGAAGCTCAACTGCTGTCGTAACAAAACACCATGCCACGTTTGCATCCCTTTGTTGGGGGGTTCAAGAGGCCTCGTTCAGGCCCTTCGGCAGGGATTCGGACTCGATGTCTGTGTAGAATCCAGCGGTGTACTCCTAGCGAGCCAGGAAGCCAAGAACCGCCCAAGACAAGCCGTGATCACTCGAGACCAGGGATTCAATTCAAAGATGCAAAGAAGTAGGACAAGTAGAACGCGCAGCACAAAGGAGGAGACGAGAGCGAAGTAAAGCGACGACGAGAGAGCTCCCTGCGGCCTGGTCCAGCACCTCTCCGAGCTCAGCGTTCTGGCCATCCCGAAGGGCCACGGCCTCCCCCAACGAGGCCGGAGCTGGGGAGGTTTGGGGGGGTTTGGGGGGTTTGGGGGGGGAAACCCTGTGCTGTGCTCCCACCTCCTCGACGTCCTCCTTGAGTCCCACGGCCTCTCTTCACACAGTGCGGTGTGTGTTGCAAGCAGCCTTGTCTGAACTCCTCGAATGGGCTGCTGCAAACCGCTTCTGCCAGTCAGGCCCGTCCTTTTCAAAAGCCAGCAACTCCTTTGGAGTCGTCAGCCAGAATCTGCATGCTAGCTGAGCAGGCTTAGCAGCTGCTCGGCCGCGTACTATGTACAGAAATTCACATCAGGCCTAACGGTTCTTTGCCCAGATAGCATCGGCTAGTACGAAGACTTTGGACAGCGTGTGCACACCGACCAGCCCGCACCATTGCAAACGTTGCCTTGGTAGGAACGACCGGTGATGTTGTGCAGAAGCTATAAGTGTGCTTTGTAGTTGTAGCCATACCAGCTATCCAGTACAGCTATATAGTCTGTCGCGGCAGCCAAGCTTTGTGCGGATCCAAGCAGCACCGCAAGGCAGCAGCGCCAAAGCACTCTTTGCAGGTCAGCGGGGCGCCCCAGCAGTTCTGTCAGTCGAATTGCCACTCAGACATTCCATCACAACAGCGGAAATACAGCACAGGTGGGCAAATGGGGCAGCTCCTGGCATCGTCGCCCTTTCACGGTGCTCAAGACAGCACCGTCCAAGGCCCTTCTGGCTCTGGGGCCTCCAATGGCCTGCAAAGGTGTCTGCAGCAGTTGTGCCACTGGCGCAGCTAAAGTCTTCAAAACAGCAAAGTGGCGAACACAGCCCATGACACCATCCTCCAAGTTGTCGTGCAGCAGACCCCGGCCACGGCAGGCCGGGCATGGCAAGGCTGGCCTTGAGAAGGCACGTAATATGGCATGGATTGAGATTGTGCTGGTGCCCGGGGCGAGAGCATACCATCGCAGGTGCTGCAGACAAGGACCCCATGCCCTCCGCAGCCCTCGCAACTCCTGTTCAGGGACGGGCTTTGGACTTGTAGGAAAGAATCGGGATCAGGCTTTTTTGTTGGAGAGGGGGGGGGGTGATGGTGGGTTCACTTGGCGCGGTGGCAGCAGTCCTGCGCCCGTAGCCGTCACAGAATCTGCAATCACTGATGGCAACCTGCGCCACTGGGACTGTGCTGAGGACGCAGATGCCACAACACTGCGTAGAGTGACTATAGAGGTAGGGGTGTATGCGGTACTACTGGGCCGTTGCTACCATGTGCTTTGTCACAGCAGGCGTGCCTGGGTCTGCTGCGGCCTTGCCAGCGGCCGCTCGGGCTCCTCAACCACTGGCCGGCCAGGGAATTGCGAGCCTGGACACAGTGTTGTTCTGCCCTTCTTGCCACTGTGGCAAGACTTTTTTGCCTTTTGCGAGGTTCATCGACCCTGCAAGCGAACATAGATGGGCCTGGTGGGTAAAGCTCCAGGGCCAACTTGGCACTTGCACCCTGGATCCTGAAGGCCGACATTGGTCGTGGACATCAAGATTCACAAAACGGGTGCCGCCCAGAAGCAGACCGACCGCAATGCCGCTGAATGCTGGCCTGCCAGCTTTTTCCAAGCTAAAGGCTTTTCGTAGGCCGGGAAGTCGGGCTGCATTGACAATCATTTCAAGCCATCGACTCAATCGAACTCAACCGAACCCGAGGACACCGAGCCCAAATTCAAGCCTGTAGAGCTGCTGCGCTTGGAAGAAGCGTCGAGCGGTTCCCGTAAGGTCCACTTCTGCAGTGACTGCAACAACCTGCGCCGTCTGGGATGCTTCCGGAATGCTCTCTGGTTACGACCGGTGCGGCACGAGTATGCAACGATGCTTCTGCTTGCGTTCCCCGCCTCTTGGCCGAGCAGTATGCCGACCACCACAGACTCCTAGATCATGGCAGAGCCCCATTGTGTGCGTAATGCAGTGAGGCTTCTTGCCCGCCAGTTGGCCCGTCCTGACCGTCCTTGAGCCGTACCCGAACCTCACCTGAGACAATTCCGTTCCCGCCCGGTTGCTGACGATGAACCATCTCGAGCACATTCGAGCACTAAGCCACAAGCCGGGGCGGTGCCAAACTGCCTCAACAGGCAAAGGCCAGTAGACTCGGATATTCGGATAGACTCAACTTGGCTCTTGGCTCCCCGTTGCGCCTCCCAAAGTTCGCCCGAGATCTCTGCGAAGGCACGGGGCTCGGCGCAGCGGTGCCTTCCAGCAGCTCACGGAGATTCACGGTGACTCACGGTGAGTCACGGCTTGCAGGCCTGCCCGGGGGCCGGCTCTGCTGTTCCGGAAGGATGGCAGCGGAGGCCTGGGGGCGTTTTCTCGGGCAGCCTTGTTGTGGGGAGGCTGTCACTGCGGCGGCTCGGGACTGCGCGACGCCTGCTGAGGTCCTCGCTGCGCTGCGGTCGATCACGCTCTTGCCCTCCAGAAAGTAGCCTAGGCCTTTGTGCCCTGGCACGTTCCGCTCCTCCTTGAGGGGAACGCCCTGGACGGAGAGAACTTTAAGAACAACGTGCGTGGGCAGCCCGGGGAAGACAGCTGCTGGGGGCTCACAGGCCACGGCCAGTACATCCTGCGGCACCTGACCTGGCTGCCGCTGCCGTATCAGACCATCATCCGAGTCGGAGTCGTGGAGTAGGCCCGCAGTGCTTAGGGTGGGGAAGAAGCTGGCGGCCTTTTGCGAGGGCACCTCCACTTCCCCCAGTTCACTGTCAGAGGATTTCCGAGACTCGTTCTGCGGGGCTGGCTCCTCTTCTGGTGGAGTCAGGTCCAGAAAGCCGAAGATCCCCGGGCCAGCCATTCAGGCCACAGCCCCAATCAGCCCCAGGGACCAGAACCATCACGCGGCCGACATGGCTCCCGAAGGCTCATTCACGTGCTGTCATGGACGGCTGGCTAGCTTCGGGGGTTGCCGTATCATTGGAAGGCTGTGGTCTCCTTAAGCCACAAGCATCACCGACATAATAACTGCATCGTGTTGTTGAGTCATGAACCGAAGAACTGCTCCGGAGTTTGCTGTTCTTGTTTAGCCACGGTATCCTTTTGATCTGCAACGCTCTGGCATGCCGAAGTTTGTGAAGGTTCGTACTTGAGCACCGAACGCTCGCAAGCTGTGTCATGCTTGGCAAACAGTGTGGCCCGACATGGACAAATGCTGGAAGAGAAGCATCGACTGTGACTACGCTCCCCTTGAGGCTGCCTTGTCCCCCGCATCCCTGAACAAAGCACCCTGCCTGACGTACGATCTTCTGCCCTGGCAGGCTGCGCCGCCTGCCGGACAAACGAGAGAGCTCCAGGCTCCAGGCTCCAGGCTCCACATGAAAGTCCAAGGGTCTCAGTCTCAATCGAGGCTGGGGAAATTATTCCACAAGGCAGCAAACCTTGGCCCTTTTCAAGGGCAGTCATTGGGCAGGTCCGAATACAAGCTTTTGCAAGTCGAGCTCTGAGCGAAGTTGCCTCCAGCGACGTGCGCCGAGGGCAGCCCCCACCAAGGCCACCGCGGAGGCTTTGGCTGTCAAATTGGCCTGGCACGGGTTTGGGGTTTGGGGTTTGGGGCTTGGGGCTTGGGGCTTGGGGCTTGGGGCTTGGGGTTTAGGGTTTAGGGTTTAGGGCTGAATTAGGGTTTAGGGTTTAGGGTTTAGGGTTTTTGGTTTAGGGTTTGGTGGCACTTGCGGAACGACATGTCGTAGCGAAGCTGCTGCATGCTCAACACGGGAGCCTTATCCATAGATCTGAACTTTGCTAGCGAGCCCTTACCTAGGAAAGAAGTACGCCGTGGTCCGTGCTGCCATGGCAGTTCCGACCAACAAAATGCCCAGGGCATGGGATGGAGAGGCTCTCCATGACTGGACGACTGTGTCAATGAAACGTTGAAAACGATGAAAGGGTGATGCGAAGGAGTTGAGCTCATGCTGCGCGACTCGTCTTGTTCCCTCCTTTTGCATCCTCAAGACTTCATCTCCTATGTCCCCCTTGCAAAAGGAAAAAGTAGAGCAAGCTGAGCCTGAGGTGAGACAGTCGCCGGTGCTGTTGCAGAAGCGACCGTAGGAGGTGGCGGCGCGGTCCTCAGCTACAGGTATGACTTTGCAGGCGGAGGCCGCTGCTACATAGTGATACACATCTATAGCTAACCCCCTTCCCCACCACCAAAGACCAACTTCCCATAACCACAAGTAAAAAGACTCCATGGTGGCCTCAAGTATCAAAGCGCAAAACCGGAAAACCAAAACCACCAACAAAAACAAACAAACACACAAATCGTGATGGTACTCAAACCGAACAAACCAAAAACAATCCGGGCACGAGTACTCAAACCAAGAAAGCAAAAACATCAGCATACATCAGCACGAAAGCCAAAAAAATGGTTGGTGACCAGCGCCCTGGACGTTTTCTGTTTGTTGGGTTCCCTTTAGTTTCCGGATGTTTGTTTTGGGTGTTTTGTTTGCTGGTTAGATTGCTAGTGCCTAGAAGTTGTTCTGCGCTTGCTTGAGCTTGCTCATTGCTTATCTTTTTGTTTTCTTGCTTTTTTCCAGTCTTGGGCCGGAGTAATCAATGTCCGACAAACAAAGTATTTGGCTTCCTTACATGGCGCGGGAGCTTCTGCTTCCGAAATAGGTGAGGAGTCTGTGTACCTGTAGGAGCTATTTCGACTGGTGTGATTACAGAGAATATGCCGTTTGAGATGTCATTCTGGTACCGATCGCTGTTGCGTCCGGAAACTGGCCTCTCGTGCTTCTGTTACCCTCAAAAATTCTACGATTGTTGCCACCAGTCCTAGTATTGCAACTAGGGTTATTCTTCTTCCTATTGAGCTACTATTGGTGCTATTGTTCAAGTCTGAAGTCCGTGCCTTCCCTGATCGGTGCAAGCGGAAGGCCGCGGTGGTTGCTCAAGCGTCAAGAATGTCAGGTCTGCCATGGAGCCTTGGCGCAGGCACCACTTAGCTGTCTTCATATGGGTTTTAAGCTTCAAGGCTTGGAGCTTCATATTTGGGAGCTTCTTGGCCTCAACAACTGCACCACAACAGCCAGGGAGAGAGGCCCCATGTTTCCCGCCTGAAGGTCCGATGATGCACTTTCCGCGAGTCCCGAGAGCTCAACTAGATTTGGGTAAGTGTGATGCCTAGTAGGGCCTGGTACTTGGTAGCTAGCTTGTGCCGAATGTCAGTGAAGTGATGTGGCAGTGGCGTGGCGCGCATGCTCTGAGCCAGATGAGCGATCATTCCAGTGTTGCCGCGTCGAAGTTCTGTACACGTCATGGGCGATAGAATGCTATCTAGATCCAACCGTCAAAACGCAGTGCTTCAGAGCTGCACGCAGTAACAGCATAAATGCGGGAAGGTGACATCTGGTCGGGAGGACTCCTCCTACAGCTTCCGCCGAGAACTCGCAGGATTCGATGATATTCCGAACAAACCGTCCCATCCCTCACACGGCCAATGGACTTGAAATGCGCAAGCGATCACTTCCGGAACTCGCCAAGAAGGCCATGGAAAGATGATGGGACCCCCGTTCATCTGCGGTATTGTGCTGTGATGCTCGTAGAAGGATGACCCAAGTACCCCATGGGGGTTTAGGCCCAAATCCTCAATACGAGATACACAAGTATTCTGGGCAGGGGCGAATTCCGAATATTGGGGCGTTCAGAGCTTTCTGGTCTAGCACACGCCATGCGCAGGGCTCCAGTCCTAGGTGGTCAAGGCTCTTGACTCAAGAGCTTTGAGCTTGAGATCGCCACACTCCATTTACATATACTGTGACATACAAGAGGCATGGTGCTGATCGGGTCTCTGTTTTACTCTGGCGACAGGAGTCGCATTCGGAAGGCGAATTCGCCCCACACTTCCCAAACAATTTGCGGCGTGCCAGGCTGCTAGCGGCGGAGGATATCCGAAAGCTCCTTTGAACCTGCTCTCGGGATGAGTGCCTTTGTGTGTGTGTGCCCCCCCCCTATTCTAGGAAACGCTCATGAACATCAAAAGACCATCCCCCCGCCTTCAATCTCCTCGCGAGGGTGCAGCGCCTCGAACCTGCAGTCAAAAACCAGAGATGCTGCATGCCGACCGGTTCTCATCTTAGAAGAGGGCTTCGGCTACCACCCTCCTCACTCCGTTTCTGAGAGACCCCACCCAGCGCTGGGCTGTTGCTCCGCGAGATTCCGCGGGATGCCGGCGAGCACTTCCCGGAAGTAGCTGGCATGTTGGCGCACGCCGTACCTGAACGATGCTTCGACCCTTTATCAGAGTAGGCGGGGGGAAACTAGTGGCATCTATCTGTCCAACTCGCTGACAGCCAATTGGCAAAACCAAACTCGGAGTACTTAGAGCAGCCCGACTCGAGCCAAGAGACTCGACGAGGGAGGAGAGAAGATTGACCTGCTTAGCTGTTGCATCTGCTGTGTGTCAGCATTCACCAACTTGTCTAAAGCAAGTCCGTGTGCATTGCATGTGACTTTCTCTGTGAGTTGGCATGCTTACCCCAGTTTTGTGTTGCTTTGTCATGGACTGGGAGTGTGCGTGCGCGGGGCAGCTGCCAGGGCGTGCGGCGGGGTGCGTGCTGAATGAGCGCAAGGCGATGTGTGACACATGCGCCGGAAGTGAAAAGGTAAATCTTCAACAGCCGGAAAATTGGCTGCATCAGAAACTTGTCCATGAGCTATCATGATGCCATGAAGTGTACCCGTACAGGAATGTACTACAGGCAAGTCAGCTGCTGGGATGGGTGCATCATGCAATGCTGAAGCCTGGGTTTCAGCCTAGGCCGAACCCTACAGAAACTGGTCAAGCCCAAACCTTCAGCCGCAAGCTCTGCACCGATTCCCCCGCCGCCCCCTCCCCCCTCCGTCCCCACCGCAAAGGAACTTCTCTCGATTTCCACACTACTTTGGCAACTCACCTGACATGTTCCAACGCTGGGCCTGCGCGCCGGTGTAGGAAATCAAGGACTGCGGGTTCTGCTGGACCATCGAGAACTGTGGAAAATTGGCCTCGGAGTCACTCCGAAGCCTTAAGCTGCGACCTGCAGCGAGAGCAACCTCACTTCGCTTTTGCATCGGAGCCACGAACATGCCCTCCTTTCCTGCAGCAATCTCCTGCGAAGCTTGTGGCTTCCGACTCTACACTGGCAGGCAACAGAGACTCACAGAGCGGCTGGCCACAACACTTCTGGCAGCCTTCTGTGTGTCCGCAGGAAGCTGGTTTTCGAAGACTTTGCTTTTGTCCAGGTGATACACCAGCAACTTGACTGTCCATCCTCCGCACGAGCAGCGCTGCATGACTTTACTGCACGGCACGCACTAAGCCGTCACTAAGCTGTAACGCTGCACGAACCTCCTTCAATGCCCCACCTTGCCACAAGCAAGACACGCAAGACGTCAACACGAGCTCGCATTGGATGACACCAATTCGCGCGGGCGGCTCGCCCTCAAAGGCCCTCACCAACTATTCTTCAGCACCTCCAAGTCCCTGAGGCTCACAGCTGGCCGGCCGGCGCGCCTTGCCAGACTTGTTGGGAGTAAGCATACGAAGCTCACGATGCTTGAAGATGCTTGAAGCTCGAAATGGCCTGTGTGTCTGCAAGTCGCACAAGATTGGCTGGAGGTCTCTGAAGCGAAACACCTTGTACAAACATAGCACATGGTGGACTATGGTGGCAATGTTAGCAGTCGCACTGTTGTCGTAGTGGTTGTCATATTCAGTTGCGCCTGGTTGTGCATCAGGAAAGACCCCTCGACGTGGGAACCAAGTCCAAACTTGTCCACCAGGTACCATGCAGCCTCAGCTCAGACAGAGACACTCCTTGAAAAACAGACACACCGTGAAGACCTGTGTGGTGCTGTATGCATGCGAGGAGCTGATTTTCCAAGTTCAACTGCATCCCTGCCAAGTATGGTCAAGATAGGCAGAGGCAAGTGAGCTTGCAAGTTTAAGGGACCATGAGAATATCTGAGCATCCTGCACCGGGGTGTAAGTACAAAAGTCCTCACAGTGAGAGCCGCGTGCTCGACAATTGCAAGTGTCTCCCGGCGACGACTGCGAGGCAACCCTCAGCGGAACGTGAAGCAACAAAGCCCGCTCCGACTTCATGCCGATTTTCACGTCCGTGTCAAGGAACATTACAACTCTTGGAACCTGTTCAGACTGTTACGATATGCAGCGCAGCGACATGCTATTCCGACTCAGACAGCAAGAGCTTTCCGAGGCATCTGCGAGACAAGACAGAGATTGCGCGCCTTCCTCTGCAGCGCCGGCAGCAAGCCAGAGTTGTCCATGTGCCCGCCATCACCGATCTTGAACTTGGCGGCGCCCTCCGAGAAGAAAAAAGCAAAGCCCTTTAGAGGCAGCTTAAAAAACACACGGGAGGCCTTTTTTTCTCAAAAGGGGGCTTTCAATAATCTCTCATCCTTTTTGAGCAAAAAAGCGCGCACTCCCCAAAGGGTGCCTTCGGGCCAGGGAACTTCTTCGACGTCACCGGCCAAAGCGTCGCCACAGGGATCAAGGCCTCCAATAACGGAACGGAACCCTAAACCCTAAACCCCAAACCCTAGGCGTTTCTGCTCACAGGTTTCGTGTAGTTTCTCACCTTGCCAGCCATTGTGAGTCCACGACCTGGAGCGGAGCTACCCTAGCGAGGCTAAGCCCGCGATCTTTCCACACGCGCGATCCCCCAGCTGTAGTTTACTCTACCTGCGGGTTCGACGCCCCACTGCACTTATCCGGAGCAGTGCCCGGAGCCTTTTTCCGAGGGCCTGGCAACCCTCATTGCCTTGACCCTGGTCATTGGCATCTGCTGGTTTATTCCTTTGTGATTGCTGGCATACTGCGCCTTCCCCGGAGTTGCGCCCGGCCTTTCCGTGGGTCTGTCCCCGGTTATTGCGCCTTTTAGTGCAGAGTGGCGCCTGCCTGGCTGGTGGACTGCTGGTATATGCCTTCCGCATTCCTGTGGTTTTTCCAGCTCTTCTTTTTCGCGCTTCTCGCCAGCAGCGCTGGGCTTGTGCACCACGGCCAGGGAACCGGCCTGGCACAGGCACCAGAGGCGTGCCCGCTGTCGAGCGCGAACTCAACTGCGCACCTTCGTGGGAGGAACGCCTCTGGACCGCAGTATTGTCCTGAAGGCGGCATCAAGGCTGCGCGGACACCACTCCAGATCTTTGCTGCCAAGACAAGCTTTGCAGAAGTTGGATATACTCGCAAGCGAAGTCATGGCGTCACACTCCTGGTGCGAGGTCTGCTATACGAACAGGTCGTCGAAGGCTGCATTCTGCCAAACGTGTGGGGGCAAACTGCAGCCGTACACCACAGCCTCGGCTTGGACGGAATCACCGAGGCGAAGGGCTATCTCACCGCGTTCACCACGGAGAAGACAGCAACCTTTCGGCATTCGGCAGCCGGGCAAAGGCAAGCCGCCGTGGTCGCAAAAGCAGAACAAGGGCAAGGAGAAGGGAACGAAATCGAATCCCTCCAACGACGAGACGCCAGCCAAGGCAGCGTCAAGTGCACCACTGGCACCCACGATGACGGGGTTGCCACCGCCACCGACTGCACCGACGATGACCTTCACGAGTACATCGTCAACGGCAGCTGCTCCACCGTCGGCAGACAGACTGGCGCTTCAGCAGTTGCTCTCGGTGATGAGTCAACATCAGGACAGGCTCCCAGACTCAGTGAAAGCTGTTATGGAAACACACCAGGTGCAGGAGTCAGCAGTGGAAGCCAAGGCCCTCCACAAGGCAGTGTCGGCCCAACAGAAGGCCCGACAGGAATTGGCACGCGTACGTGCTGCTCGAGCCAACTATCTGGCGGGTTGGAGTGCCTACCTGGGACAAATACAGGAGCTACTGCAGAAACAGGCCGAAGATCACGAACAAGTTTTGCAGGGACTGGACGATGGAGAACTGCAATGGACGGCGAGTTTGTCCACAGCCTCGATTACGTTGCAATCGAAAGTTGGAGCGACGGTCGGCGCCGAAGCTCTGGAAGGACTGGACGCCGAGGTTCTGGCAGAGGCACAGGCCGAAGCGACGGAAGCCAAAGTGGACGACCAGATAGCCCTGGAGCAAGCACTCAAGAAACAGCGCACCCTGCAGAAAGAGTCGACGCAGGGACTCCTAGCTGCTGTGGAACAAGCCAGAGCAAAAGCGGAGACGGACGCAGCTGCTGCGGACAAGGAAAGGGACAGGACACCCCGCCGGAAGCTCCGGCCGCAGCCGGCACCCCACGAGCCGATCAATGTGTCCGACGGCGAAGATCCGACAAAGCAGCCCCCTGGCAAGGCCTGAGGCTAGAAACGTCACAGTGGACGCCTACCCTTGGGCTGACGCACACGGTCATCTCGGAGAGTGACTGTGTTCATCCAGGCCATGCTGCGTTGCTTGGCATGGCTCTACAGTATGAAGTTTCTAGGGGCTTTGAGGTTCAGCTTATCTCGGACCCTAGGACTCTCGAGGTAGACGATGCCCCAGTTGCTTGCTCTGGGGTTTTCCTCCCTCCCAAGGCACCCTCCCCTGATAAGGGTCTTTGCCTTCGTTCGGGATGCATTTGCCCATCGTCACTTGCATCTAGAAATGCCAGCAGTCGCACACCCAGACTGGTGCGATTTGCAGACTCGCAGGGACATGGTGATCGAATCACTACCAAGAGACCTTGCCCCCACTTGCAGGTCCTGCGGCGTCTCAGGAGGTGTCAGCTGCCCTGTGGACCCTCCTTTCAGTCCCTTGCCCCACCATGTGCCCTGCCTGCACCCTGCGTTGCCAGCGAGCGTGCGCGCCGTTTGTCCGAGCACTGGGATGGTTGTAGGATAGGGTTCTCACGGGCACAGGCCATAGGTCCAGCGACATGCAGCCCGCGTCACTGCGACACAGACCAATCCTGTGAAGCAGGATCGGCCGATACACCTGTACGCACAGGCCTGAATGGCACCGAGGCGATATATGAGGCCAGCCAAGGCCTAGCCTCTCCTGCAGGAGAGGAGGCACCAAGGACAGCAGGAATATGGACCGAGCCCGAAATTTTTCACACTCAAGTACCACTTTCTGCAAGCACGCCCACAGCCTGGCTCAATGTGGCGTGCCCTCTGCCACTCAGCCATATGGAGACCAGCGTTGCAGAAGCACTGAAGGAGGGTGCTTACACCTTCTTTGACACAATGGACCACATGCGTCTGCGCAGCATCCAGCCCAGTTGGGACTTCCAACAAATCCTACAAGATGCAGTTCGAGCGTCCAATGATGGACCCATCACATCAGTGACTGTGCTTAGGCCCCAGTTCGAGGGACTGCCGTCCATCCAGCTCATTCTGAGAGCGGCGCATGTCACACCCGGTTGGGCCCCAGTTCCGGTTGACCTTAGGCAGGTAGGTAGAGGGTTTTGCACCTACTCCGTGCCACTGGATGCATCTGCATATGAGGCTGCACTGCGGTTTGTCCAAGTGTGCCCCGGGCCCCCTAGGCGGTTCGCACCAGATGTTGCTAGGGGGCGCCTTAGCCTCGATAGCTTGAGCAAGACACAGGGGGACCCATTTGCCCCTGGCATCCTGCACCCAACCCCTGCTCTGGTCACCAAGGTCCATGTCATGCGAGCGGACTCCACCTCTGGCACCAGCACCTCAGGGATTGCGTCTGATACAGACAACAGCACTACTGCCCGCTTTGGGGTCGTCCCACATGAAGAGCACCACGACGAGCTCACAGTTGCATTTCACACACCAGGAAGACCCCCGTGGATCACTTGCTTTGCCCGGGTGTGCACACAGGCACACCTTGTGGAAGCAGCGGCAAACCACTTTGCTGGAGGTACAGATGCCCTACGTTGGCGACTGCACTTCCTGCCTTTGCAGCCACACTTTGCAGGAGTCGACCTCCATTGCATCATTCTGCCGGCAGAGGGGGCCAACGCATGCCATGAGGCGATTCTAGCGGACTTTAGGGGGATCTTCGGCCCGAGCCCCCGTGCATTAGTCGCCATTCCATTTGACAGGCAGCCGCCACAAGTGGAACAGCGCATCCTTGAAAAAGTCCGCCAATTCCTGATCGACTCTGCCCTTGTAGACCCCCCCCAGGACTTTATCCTGTCCTTGGCGAGCAAGGGGGGTATACTTGCACTGGCACAGCCGGCCATACATGCCGTGCAGGACACGATCGAGGTTGCATCGCAGTTCCCGGGCCTGAGACAGACGTTAATGTCTGCCATTGCCCTCCGTGGAACTTCGACATCCACCACCTCAACCACCACCACCACCACGCCAGAAGTTCATGATCCCGCATCAAGTGCTGCCGGCTCCGGGGATGCCTACCCCAGCCACCCGGTGCCACGCAACCCACTTGTGTGCCGACTAGGGATTCCCGAATTCGGGGCGGTAACTGTCGAATTCCTTGACAACCCGGACCTAGGACACATCATGGCGGCACTTTGGCATGCAGCTGCCCGCAAAGGCGCAAGCCTGGAGGGCTTTCTCCTCTCTGTCAACGCGTGCCAACCGGAGCAGAGAGTAGCCTACAGAGAGCTCCTGTTCACCCTTGTGCCTGCGGCAGCAGAACGTGGCGCCTGGATATGGGTGGACCGCAGACCTATTGCCAGCCTTCTTTTTGTGGTTGTACCGTCCAGCAGCAGCACAGAGGCGTTGCCGGCCGCAGACTCCCGCATCAAAGGATGGTATCTAAATGGTGTCCGCTGGGAAGGTTTTAGGTTTGTCCCTTCTGGTTCCCTAGTGGTTCCGGGTTTTACCCATGAAGCACCGGATATTCGACCAGTCGGATATTTCCTTGACCGTTTGCCAGGCCTCGCAGCCTGCATGACTCCCATGCCACCACCCGGAGGCGGTCAGCTTGAGCCATTGGCAACCACAGCAGCCGATTGGCAGCAACACATCGTGCAGAGGCTGACCGACATGGGGCACGCACAGCCCAGTCAACAGGCGATTGTTGTGGGTGAAGGCTTTTTCACGGTGGTGCCGGTTTCTGGTGCAGGAAGTCTCCCTTTTATTGCGGGCTGGCTTCACAGATGGGCGCGCAACTGCCCACCCAACGCCCGGATCTATCAAACTAACGGGGTACTAAACGGGAGGCATGTCTACATACTAGGCTCGACTGACCTAGATGATCAGACCGAATATCTGCGCCTGAGTACCACCAACATGATGCCTGTACTCTTCAGGGTGCCGCACCGAGCATTTCCAGAAGAACTGCGCAGAATCGCACCCATTGAAGATAGCGGATACAGGCCCGTCCCCGGACGCCCCTGGTTCGCCTGCTTCTTCCCTTCTGCAGACTTCAGTGAGCACATTGACCTGCCTTTGGAGGGACCCTTTCCACACAACTTGACGGCAGACAGGCCCAGCACCCCTGAACCCCTTGCCGGGGACCTGACCTTTGAGCAGGCAAGACGCTGGCATCGGCCGATGCCTACACGCCACCCACGTCCACCGTCGGCAAGACGGGACATTGTTGGCCGACTTGACTCGGCCTGTGACGTGCAAGAAGTGAGTGAAACGGCATCTTCATCCAGCGCCGCACCGCTCACGACTGTCAACAGGTTCGCAGGTAGGCCCAGGGCCGCCAGGTCCGTCTACTACCATGAGGCAACTGCCGGGCCTGCCCAGTCCAGCACGACCATTACTACCACTAACACGTTTACCCTTCCGGGGCGGCCCATGCTCTTCCTGGTTTCCGGGAATGCGGTTGCCGGGACACAGCCGGAAGGGATGGATGCGTCTTCCCTGATCAACGCCATCTCTTCACTCATGCTTGAGCATGCAGCGCGAGGGAGCGCGCCCCCTCAGGGGGGCTTCCGGCTGGCGCAAGCGCAGCCAGGACGCACGGGACCAATTGCCGAAATTTTGGCCGTTTGGTATCCTCTCGATTTACATCTCCACGTGCTAGTCGACAGGCGTCCGCTTGGCGGTGGCCTCCAGCATGTTAGCGTTGACTCCGACCACCTGCCTACCGATTTCCTGGAAGAGGCTGAAATTGCCGCGGGGGCACAAGCATACGTGAATGGCGTGCCAGCAAACGCCCTGGCCGGCACTTTGCAAGACGGCGATTATGTCCTACTCACGGACTCCCCGCAAGCGGTGCCAGCACTGCCTCGTGCGGCGCTCTTCCGAACCTGGCCGCACCTGGACCTCTTCGCTGTGGACTTTGCCACAGCGGATCTCTTCCCGCTGCCAACAGATGTGGGGCTTGCCTTCGACCAAATACATGACGGAGTTGCCCGGGCATGCGAAGCACGGTTTGTACTGCTTGGTCGGGCCTTTGCCTACTCCCAACCAGCACTCGTACATTCACGAGTACGTGGGGAGATCCAGTTGCATATCAATTGTAGGCTCCCTGCATCTGCGGCCCAGGTGGAAGAAGCCCTGGCGCTCCTACCGGAGTGGCAAGACGCCAGAACTGTCTTTGATACAGGTATGATGAGCGGGGAAGCCCCCATCTTCCTGGCGCAAGATATCTTTGAATCAAGGGAGAACTGGCATCTCATCCCAGTGCCATACTTCCTTAGGTTGTTCTTGCTTTGGCCTGTCAATGAACAAGTGGTGCAACAGGCAGGTACCTTACCAGCCCCTCCACATCTTCAGGTCAATGCTCTCCAGCAACATCGGCACGGAACCGTGCATCACTTCCATCCCCGGGACACAGATGCCCACAGCCTCCTGCAGCTGACCAGCTTGTCCAGAAAAGGGAGTAATGATCCCGCAGAGCCACCTCCAGAAGACGCAATGCCGCGACCCACCTATGTGGGATGCAAAGCTGATCACTATCATGCGGTCATCAGGCAGCCGACCAGCCTCCGACTTGTGCCAGATGACTTTGACGAAATTGTTGACCGCGTCTTCCTGAATGTGGCTCTGCAGATGGCTCCACGGGCCCCAGCAGAGGTTGAAACCCGCTTCACAGTTTTCGATCCAGTCTTTCAGACGCGGGTGCTGACGCACCAGCCCGGGCGCCGCTGGGAATGGACGTTGCTGGTTGTACTGCGAGCCACTGCCCGCCCAATCCGGGCAATACAAAGGCTCACAGAACCAATTTGGGGGTTTCCAGAGCCCCAATTTGTGGTGACCTTTGAGACAGCACCGCCCGACCATGTAGCGATACCGGTGGACGGCCGCCCCCTTGGACATGCCATCTGCACAGTGCACTTGGGGCCGCGCGCCACCTGGGCGGCACTGGGCCGTGTGCTCCAACAAACTATGCCTGAGACCAGGGACTGCCGAGGGGTAGGGGATCGCTTTCTTTCTGTCCTGCAGGAGGGGCACCTCCTTCTTTCAGACGCAGCCCGCCCACTT